CGAGCATGCTGTTCTTGTCCTGCTTTACATTGATAGATGAACTAAATACAACTACATAACTCAATATTTTGATTTGTTTCCCATGGGAACTTCAACTTGGCGGGCTAATAGGCAACATGTGAGAACATTAATTGATATACAGGTGTCTTTAAGAGCACAATTTATGGCATACTTACTCTCATGCAGTATGTCTGTATGTAGACCAGTAGATTTGGGAATCGAAGATCACGACAGGTAATAAGGCCAGCACTGTTTATCATTCTCATTCTTTTACACGGTCAGAGCGGTTGAAAGGAAGCACGTTCAACAGTATACCGATACGACATAAAGCCAATCTTTCTTTCTCTGCTCCATGCCTGAGTGGAACATTACAATGCTATGGTGATTTTACAGTTTTGTCTACTGTTCCAGTTGCACTCAAGCGATGAATGCTCAAGTTTAATTGAACGAAGCTAGCATAGTTATACCAGATACTTATTTTTTCTTTAATTCCATATAGAGTACTTTTCAAAAGTTCAGCTAAATATTTATTCACGTTTAAATAACAGTTGCAGTATAATCAAAGAAGGAGAGTGGTGGTAGTTTGAAATCGCACAAATAATCGACGTACGCTGTTGCTCATTAAGTTGGAATATTTTGTTATCTTACCGCTTTTCATGAAAAGTGACAATATGATTCATTCATGAATGATTTTTACATATTTTGAGAGCTTCATTTATCAATCTCTATGATTTTAGGTTGATCAATACACTCCTGAGAAGATGTAAACTAAATCTATCAAGACTAAATCGTATTCTCGGCACAATCAGTTCGTGAAAGAGATAAGAAAAAGTTGGAAAATGGCGTAGCGATATGGTTGCACCTACCACTCTGAGTTTTCCCATGCGAGTAGGTAAGCGTGTAGATGCGCTGGAGTCGCCTTGGCTCCCACCTTTCCCTCCCCTACCTCCGCATGTAAACATACCTGCATTGCTGTCCCATTACCTTCCCTCTTGCTTTAATCACTACTTCTATACCCCTCTTTTTCTCCTCTCCATGTTGTATTTACTGATAGCATTTTAGCTTATCTGTCCATAATTATCGCCTCACTGTATGCAACTCAACCCCTACGATCCCGGGTGGACGGGGGGGGGGGGGAACACATCCCCCTCAATTCTTTTAGGGGGATCGCCCCCCCCCTGAAAATTGAAAAAATGAGAAAAAAGTAAGTGTATAGCAAATATTGACCAAAGACTGCAACAAACTTTTAGGCTCTGGAGGGCCCAAGAGTGCAGCGTTTAGACAAATAAATATGCAACAATCTTCTCGCTCGGGAGCTACGCTCCATCGCATAATATTCTTCAAAGTGAAAGTAAATATTCTAGAAAAGTGAAGTATGCAAAAGGTATATTGCTTGTTTTTTATACTATTGTTTGCTAAGGAATGTGATTTGTTAATAAAGAACCCTTAAAAAACCTGTGAGGGGGGTGGTAGTCACCTTCCCCCTCTCGTTCACTATGCTTCCTCGCCTTGGCGTAATGATGGGGGGGGGGGTGGGGTGGGGGGTAGTTGCCCCCTAATAAAATTAAAACTTGGTTTATTTCTAACTCGATACCAGTGATTTACAAATGTTGCGGAAATGGCATGGTTTTTCCCTGAGCTTCCGGGGGCTCTGGACCCCTGGTTGCTCATCTGACCGTGATTAAATGCCCCCAAACCTGGACCCCACTAGAGCTCCCTACCCACCCCCCCCCCCGTCCCTCGCATTTCGTACCCCCGGTCATAAAATGAAATCGCCGCCCCTGCGTGGTACTAACCGGATACCTGGGCTTCGCGGTCTGGGGAACTGAGAGGGGCTTTGGGTAGGGAAGAAAAAAAGACGATAAAACCTCAGGAGCCGGGTGGTGGTCTTCTCCTTAAATCAATGGAACATTGTTGTACCAGACTGGGAATTCGTCAACCGCGCGTGCCCAGTGTCTGTGCTTTAGCACACAGTTCAAAACTCCTTTACCTCTCACAACAAACATGTACATGTAAATATACAGTACAAGAGATGTTATTATACCAGGAAGCTGTAATGAATGGAGATCCCGTCCAAGAGGCCCCTTTGAAGTCATCCGTGGCACCGCGCGTCTATTGTTTCCCCTACCGTAATCCCCTTAATCCCCCTCCAAAACCTTACAGCTCCCTAGTAGCACTAAGTCCTCCCTTTCCACACACAGCCCAGCCCAGCGAGCACGGCGGCTTTTGCTTTGCCGGCCCGTACTTTGGGTGAATAGTGGTGCTAACATGACAACTTCTAGCCCTAAACCAATAAATGCGCAAACATATAACACAATTTCATTTAGTTCTTTAGGAAGATAAACCTTTGGACTACCTTCCTAGCTATGTACAAATTTCGGAAATTTTCGGAAAATGTCAATAATTAGATGAGAAAATCATGATTATGAAAATCTTTCTCACAACAAATATGTACATGTAAATATACAGTACAAGAGATATTATTATATACCTCGTACATAGATTGTCATTCACTGATTAGTCAAAACTATGTCACATGACAAGGAGCATCTCGATCTATCATTGCGTCAGAGGGTTTGGGCGTTCTATCAATTGACCCATGTGACGCCCAAACCCTGTTATAATCGCCTAACCGCTCCGCGACTTTTGCAAAAAAAAAAAAAATGGTTCAGGTTTTAAGAGCGCTTTCAATTTCTTGTGTCGCTAGGTTATTACGACTACGTTAACCAATCACACGGTACGTGCAGCGTTTAAGAATTCAACATGGCGAGTGACTTAGCAACTGATCGAGCTCCAACTCCAAGATTGGAATTATTAAGTGAGGAGGGTTTGGAGCAGTTAATTACTAGAGGAAGCAGAGAGACAAATCAAGTACCCGGTCTCTATCTTTAAGGATTACTGCTCAACATGCAATATTGGTGACATCGACAACATGAGCGACGTGGATTTGGATAATCTTCTTTCAAGATTCAATGCAGGAGCTCGATCGCCAATAGGCCGGATAGCTGAACTGTAAGAACACGATGCAATCGATGCGGTATGGCCTGCAAAGGCATCTCCAAACCACTCGCAAAGTTGATATTGTGAAAGGTACTGAGTTTAAAGTGTCTAACAAGATCTTCAGTTCAAAGCCTTTCTGGAAAAGTTGAAGAAAAGTGGAAAGAGTTACGTCAAACGACACCCGCCGGTGAGCCCAAGTGACATGCAACGCATTCAAGAATGCCTGGATTTGAATACTGCCGAAGGGTTACAGCGGAACCAGCTAAACCAATTTTTTAGACAAGGAAAAGTTCCAACCCAATGGAAAACTGCAGAAATATGTCCGATTCCAAAATCTCAACCTCCTCATATTAATAATCTACGCCCGATTGGAATAACTTCATATTTTTCCAAAGTAGCCGAATCCTTTTTAGCAAAATGGTTATTAGAAGATATTGATAAACATATTGACACTCACCGATTAGGTAATCATTTGTACTACACATTATATTGTTGGTCTTTTACATAGTCTATATAAAAATGCAGAAAACAGAAAATCTGTTATTTGTATAGATATTAGTAAAGCTTTTGATCGCTTAGATCATAAAATTCTTATTAGAAAAATGATTCATATGGATATAAGGCGTAGGATAATAGATTGGATTGCCAGTTTTTTTAGAATCTCGTAAACAAAATTAAAAAAATAACGGTGTTTTATCAAATGTTGAATTCAATCATGCTGGTGTTCTCCGAGGTACACGTCTTGGGCCAATTTTCTTTTGAATTATGGTTAACGATTTATGTGAGCAACTTCCTATACCGTATTTCAAATATGTCGACGACCTCTCGTTAGTACAATGTCGGAAATCTACATATGTCTCGCAATTACAATCAGTACTTAATTCTGTGCAATCTTGGTAATATGTCACTTAATCCTTCAAAGTGTTTTACCCTCCAAGTTAGTTTCATGAAAAACCCACCAGACCCAGAAATTCTCTTTATTAGCAATACCGAGTTGTGTAATAGGCATAGTGCTAAAATTCTTGGAGTGATCATCCAGTCTGATCTGAAGTGGAATTTGTATATTGATGAGTTAATGAAAAGATGTAATAGAAAAATGTATATGTTGAGGAAATATAGGAAATTTAATTTACCTTTAAATGAGTTGGTAATAATCTACACAGGTTATATACGACCCGTATTAGAATATTGCGTCCCAGTGTTTCATAGGGGTCTCACATCTGAACAAAAAAAAAAACAGTCTCGAACGAATACGAAGGAGGGTTTGCAAAATTATTTTAGGCTCTGATTTTAATGTCATATTCAAATGTATGTCAAGTATGCAATTTAAGTACACTTAAGGAAAGAAGACTAGTACTGTGTAGACGATTTGCATAATCTTTAGCAATTCATCCAGCATGCCAGAACTGGCTACCTCCCAAAAAAAGAAATTAGAATATCATTACGTCAGGCCTCTACATAACAAAATTTCAAATGCAAAACCAACCACTTCAAAAACAGCCCTTTACCATATTTGATCAATCTAATTAACCATTATTAAATGCTTTTTTTTTTAACTACATGTTACATTTCAAACACAGTACTGGTCTTCACCTCAGTCGCCTCCAGTCTTAAAATCCAATGTATTCATTTTTAAGCATAAAACTTCCTTTTGTCATTCTTAATGTGTAATGTAATTTTAAATGTACTTTAAACAATCTTTTTAACAATATCTAAAAATGCGAGTTATCACTTTATTTTGTCAACATGTAAACATGAACAATCCAACTTCTGCTGCTTTTCATGTAAAATGACAATTACGATGCATGTATTTTGAAAATGCATAATAAACCATTATTACAGATCGATCAGTCGATCTTATTTACTAGGTGTTAGCCACAAATATGTTTAAATAATTGAAGTTTCTCTCAGGAAGCATTACATTTATAAAAGTTATTGTCCTATGGCGGACTAATAGTTATTAATAAGTCAGAATGAATCAGGAGAGCTTGGGTATTTGTTTCTAGTTCATCCTGATTGTGACATGGACCAGTGATGGTCTGGTGGTAGAGTCGCTGCCCAGCAAGTAGTAGATGCAGGTTCAAGTCCCGCTAGTTCCAAGATTTTCTCTCACTTGTTTTTCAATACAGATCGATCAATCGATCTTATTTACTGAAATTTTAAGCCATATTATGTTTAAATAACCTGAATCATGCTCATTTGATAAGTCTGATCGACAAAATTACAAAGTAGCGTTAGGTTTAACCAAAAATTCTGCTAAAAGGTTCTTTTAAAAACATCTTTTGAAATTTTAAGGGATTCGGGCGCCATACGTAGTCTAAGCGGAACATATTCCTTAACGAAATTGAGTAATTTGTTCTATCTAGCGGTTGATTTTAACCATAGCTTCTTAAAACGAAACACAATCAAACTTTTAGCGATAGGCCTACGAAACCAAAAAACAAAAAACAACAACAAAGGATCACTCTTCTGTTGAACAGTACCGATACGACTTCAATGTAATGGTGATTTAACACAACAAGATGGTATATGATTGGATGACGTCAAACCAAGCTCGTGGATAAAGAGAGGTTTCCTTTCAATTTATCAATGCTAAACGTATTTGGACTTGACTCTCCTGTTTAACAGTACCGATATGACTACAGTGTTGATGGTAAAGAACAAAACAGGGATTCCAATCATCATGAAGACGATGGTGTACGACTGGATGACGTCAAACAAAGCTCCTGGATGGGAGAATAGATTAAAAAATAATAGAAAAAGAATTACTAGCTTGGATAACACACAAAAAAAATAGGCGATGAGTTGTCCAGATCTTTGAGTGCTTAAAGATTCTATTTTAAAATATCAGAAATATTTTAGAGTAAAACTGAAATAGCTTCATTGTTTTAATTTCAAACCCTTCATAGTGTGGAAAATCCTAGACGAAATACTTAAATTACGTTAAATTTGCTCTAAAAAATGACAGGCTTACAATTTCGATTTTGTAAAAAAAAAAAATCAAAAAAAAAATCTCAAAACAGAGTGGAATGTTAATATAACTCACACTAGTAACGTGGAGGAGGAAACCCTGATGTGCCTAGTAGAGACATTTTAAAACAACTGAACCATCGCTACTAGGAAACATCTATGAAGTAAAAATGAACTGCATGGCTTTCTGTTTTACAAGCCATGTACTTTATCAACGATATTCATTCGTCTATTGTTTTGCCAGTTTATGTCTGACTGTTGGATGATAAATTAATTGAAAATTTAATTGACAAAAAAAGGTTGTATAAAAAAGTGGCATTCTCTAGTCTTAATCAAGTTTGTGATAATATATACAAAGCTTGAATTTAATATTATTCCGGAGTGCCAAGATATTTGTCTACCTGTGAGTAACCCCGCCGAGATATTACCACAGCCGTGTATTAACATCACCAGTCCAAGGCCAAAACTGAAGTTGCTTTCATCTACCAACGTCAGTTTAAGAAAAGTTGCGTCTGCAGTATCCAATACAAAAAAGCAGAGGCCCTGAAGAAATGCCCAAACTGAACGAATGATGAATGATTCGCCGACGAAATCAAAGAAAAATGACAAGCTGGTAATAAAACCAACGGTGATATAGATTTTGAACATGTGTACTTTCTTAACGAGGAGAATGACAGTAATGGTTCTGCCAATAATCCCACTGATTCCACCAATTGAAGACAAGAAGACAGCTCGAGATGGGGTAATGCCTAACTGCTCTGAGTGAGGCACTAGGTACAAGACCCAGGCTTCGAACGAATAAGCACGAAGGTAAGTCGCTGGGAGGGACATTAGGAACAGAGCTTCCTTGGTCATAAACAGTTTGCAGCGAGATATAAATGATGAGCATAAATTATATTTCTCACTATCATCTTGACCAGATCTTGACGCATCAGGAAGATCGCCCACCTCACCAGGATGATCGCATGCACTGTTGAGCAAAGAAACGTGTTCCTCGTTATTATCATCAATTAAAATCCCTTTATCCTCCTCGTATCTTTTTGTATCATTTATTACGATTGCAGCATTTAGTGTCTCCGTATTTTCAAGGTTTTCCTTGGTATGAAAACGGCTTTCTGCCAGTGCCTGGCCTTGGTCCGTATCATCTCTCAGTTCATCTTTCAATTTTGTCATTTGATCACCTCCTTCTATACCATCTTCCTCATCGTCATCCTCCGACGGTTCATGACGGATCACCTCCGACGGATCTTGTTCACTACCACTTTGTCCAGTGGTGTTATCTTTCACGCTGAAGATTGGTTTCCGAATGGCCGCTCCACCTGCAACCTTATGAAACATAATCGCTCCAAGAATCATGAAAACTCCAGAGTAACCGTACGCTTCTAAAGATCGCTCAGCGATAACGGGTAGGAACATTACGCCTACTGTTGAACCATATGATGCTATGGTGTTCATTAGAACAAAATTCTCTTTGAAATACTGGTTCATCAGGAGAGCAATCGGTAAGTAGGCACAGCATCGGCCAATCCCTGTCAATGAGATAACAAAGTGTTGTTAAAAAGTAGCATAAGTGAAACATATAGCAGATTAATGCTAAAGATATCATTGCTCGCTACTATTTCAACAGACAATAAAGACGGATAATTTGTCACTGCACAAGGTTTTGTCGGCCAAGTACAACTCGTTTTCAACTTCATATAGAACTAGAGTTTTCTCATATTTTTTCTTATTAACCAAGTGTTTATGGAGCCGGCAGGATTGCCGCAAATAAAGTTTGTATGCATTTGTTTTCTTCTATCGCTGACATATTTTGCTCCCTTTCGAACAAACATGAATCCATACCTGAGTTATAAAGAAAGAAGGCCCGAGGGTAAGTTTCAGGGTGACATTAACAGCGGTTATATGTTTAAAATGAAACCACATGATACCAAACACCCCCCATTTACCCCTCCTATTGTGACATACCTGTGAGTACGTGTCAGGGAGACACACCCAATATATTGCCCCTTCCAACTATCACACACATGTGCGTGCCATGATTGGTGATACAAATACCGGCAATGTTGAAGATAAAGCCACATGATACTACACATGACACCCCATTTATTACCCATTCTATTGTATTTGTGAGTGCCCGAGACCGGTAATGTTCGAGATAACACCACATCCCACCCAAGTTATTACCCCCTCCTATTATGACATACCTGTGAGTGCCAGGGTGACACCAACGGCGGTTATATGTTTAAAATGAAGCCACATGATACCAGACACACCCATTTATAACCCCTCCTAATATGACATACCTGTGAGCGCCAGGGTGAAACCAAGACCGGTGATGTTGGAGATGAAACCGGATGCTACCAGACAGCCCCCACTTATTACCCCTCCTAACATGGCAACGATTCGATGATCTACTCTCTGGAGGACCAAGGAAACGAAAGGACCTGCATGGACATTGATTGAATTATATAAATTAAGGACACATTGTGGTTAGAGTGTGTGTGTGTTTGTGTGCGGGGGGGGGGGGGGGGTGGGGGTTGAAAAAGGTGTGAAACGGGGAAAATCATATGTATACATAACTTCCTAGTGGGGATACACTGGCACCTGTGGATATTCCCAGTTGATAACTTTCTTATTTTTTTGCTATTTTCGGTAAAAGTGACACGAGAGGAGTCTCCTGTCCTGTCGCTCATAATTATAGTTGGAATATTTTGTTTTACCCCAATTTATGGAATTATTTAAAAAATAATTAAAACAAAAATAGATCTAGATAATAGTATACATTCTCAGATTTTATTGTATAATAATTTGACAATGTGTGTTTTGCGTGACTGCTAAAGCATGTGTATGCTACTGTGCTTATCAACTAGGGGACCTACGCTTTTAAGTCATAAATGACAGTAATGAAGATTAATGCCCCACAAAAGGGCACTAATATAGCACTTCGACACGGTTTTGATCCCGGGGCCTCACAGTTACGAGGCCATTGCTTTGTCACTGAACCATGACTGAACGCAGCAGGGGCTAGGGTAGGGGGCAGTTTCAATAAATTTAAAAAAAACAGAAAATGCAATAAATTTTCAATAATTTATTGCATTTTACCCCGGTCCCCAACATAAAAAATCCTCTGGACGGCCATGCATTATGGCTCAAGGCATTGGCACATAGAAAAAAATTTATGTTGGGAGCCGGGGTAAAATGCAATAAATTATTGAAAATTTATTGCATGTTCTGTGTTCTTCTTCATTTATTATCGAAACTGTCCCCTACCCTAGCCCCCGTTATTGTTATGGACAAAGTCTCCACTAAAAGACTCAAATATTTTGGCCACGTCCTAAGAATGAAACCTACAAGATACCCCAAAATTGCAGTGGAAGGAAAGGTCACAGGAAATCGACCCAGAGGCCGTCCACCCAAAAGATGGCTTGACTGCATCTCAGAGGACTGCAAAGCAAGATCTATACCAAGGCTGACAGATGCATTAAGACTGGCTGCGGATAGAAAAACTCGGCATACTATCACCATACAGAAGCCATCACGAGGCCTGCGTGGACGGCATAAGTCAAGTAAGTCAAGTCAAAATCTGAGAATGTATATTATTATCTAGATCTATTATTTCTAAATTATTTTTAAAATATTTCCATGAATTGGGGTTAAACAAAAATATTCCAACTTTATGAGCGACAGTGTAAAAGAGTTCCAAGACATCCACATTTTTATAGTAAGACGCCAATTTTTCGAGCGCTACTTTGCGTATTATCAGAGATTTAAAAAAAATCGAATAAATGAACAGCGCCTAGTTAATTCTCACATAAAAAAAAAAGGAGGCTAAATTCTTGTTATTCTTTGACAAAATGCAATTGTATTCATTTATCTGGCATTACATGAATCAAAGAAAAGGAATGTTTATAAAAACAAATGTGGTTGTTTTGGGAGTCAAAATAGTTGAATTGTAGTTAGAAATGAAATAAAACAACAAAAACAATAAAATACATGAGTTAAAAAAACAATGCAATACATAAGAAATTATCAAAACAAACACCCTCACCGTCCTAGCAAGTCCGAGCCCATCCATGAAGTTCTTTTAAAAACAGATCGTAAACAGTTGATACTACGTTCACTCCCTTCGCACACAATTTGAGCCCGTTTAGCAACATTTTCCAGAACGTAGTGAGAACTGGTTTGGTGTGATGGGGGCTTTAACTGGGTAATTATTCATGGGTGTCCGGGTGTACAAATTCGGATACATTTAATTGGAAAAAATAGAGTCTATTGTCCTTTAAAGAATATATAAAAAAAGAATCAAATGATTCACCTGAAAAGAGCATGATTGTACCGGGTAAACTGCAGATGAAGCCTACTGTGGCGTAATTTCTGTTGAATCTTTCAACCATCACTGGGAGGAGAACGCCGAAAGCCTTGGTGATCCCAACCGCCATGTTTGTCATGAATTTGCATAGTACGATGACGTAACCCCACTTCCAGTTTAAAATGGAGATCTCTTGTCCTCTTGATGACTCCATTTCTGCAAGCAAAGTAGTCGTACAAGATAATACATAGTTAGTTCGTCTCACCTGTCAAAAAAATAAATCAAGCGATCAACCAAGCATACACACATTCAATCAAACATTCATTCAATCAAGCAACAAACCAATCAATCGACCAACAAACCAATCAACTACCCAACCAATCATTCAATCAACATAATGTCCTATTAGTACAAGGGTATGATAACGAGCATGCTGTTCTTGTCCCGCTTTACATTGATAGATAAACTAAATACATCTACATAACTCAATATTTTGATTTGTTTCCCATGGGAGCTTCAACTTGGTGGCGAATAGGCAACATGTGAGAACATTAAATGATATACAGGTGTCTTTAAGAGCACAATTTATGGCATACTTACTCTCATGCAGTATGTCTGTATGTAGACCAGTAGATTTGGGAATCGAAGATCACGACAGGTAATAAGGCTAGCACTGTTTATCATTCTCATTCTTTTACACGCTCAGAGTGGTTGAAAGGAAGCACGTTCAACAGTATACCGATACGACATAAAGCCAATCTTTCTTTCTCTGCTCCATGCCCGAGTGACACATTACAATGCTATAGTTATTTTACAGTTTTGTCTACTGTCCCAGCTGCACTCAAGCGATGAATGCTCAAGTTTAATTGAACGAAGCTGGCATAGTTATACCAGATACTTATTTTTTCTTTAATTCCGTATAGAGTACTTTTCAAAAGTTCAGCTAAATATTTATTCACGTTTAAATAACAGTTGCAGTATAATCAAAGGAGGAGAGTGGTGGTAGTTTGAAATCGCACAAATATACGACGTACGCTGTTGCTCATCAAGTTGGAATATTTTGTTATCTTACCGCTTTTCATGAAAAGTGACAATATGATTCATTCATGAATGATTTTTACATATTTTGAGAGCTTCATTTATCAATCTCTATGATTTTAGGTTGATCAATACACTCCTGAGAAGATGTAAACTAAATCTATCAAGACTAAATCGTATTCTTGGCACAATCAGTTCGTGAAAGAGATAAGAAAAAGTTGGAAAATGGCGTAGCGATATGGTTGCACCTACCACTCTGAGTTTTCCCATGCGAGTAGGTAAGCGTGTAGATACGCTGGAGTCGCCTTGGCCCCCACCTTTCCATCTCCTACCTCCGCATGTAAACATACCTGCATTGCTGTCCCATTACCTTCCCTCTTGCTTTAATCACTACTTCTCAACCCCTCTTTTTCTCCTCTCCATGTTGTATTTACTGATAGCATTTTAGCTTATCTGTCCATAATTATCGTCTCACTGTATGCAACTCAACCCCTACGATCCCGGGTGGACGGGGGGGGGGAACACATCCCCCTCAATTCTTTTAGGGGGATCGCCCCCCCCCCCCTGAAAATTGAAAAAATGAGAAAAAAGTAAGTGTATAGCAAATATTGACCAAAGACTGCAACAAACTTTTAGGCTCTGGAGGGCCCAAGAGTTCAGCGTTTAGACAAATAAATATGCAAAAATCTTCTCGCTCGGGAGCTACGCTCCATCGCATAATATTTTTCAAAGTGAAAGTAAATATTCTAGAAAAGTGAAGTATGCAAAAGGTATATTGCTTGTTTTTTATACTATTGTTTGCTAAGGAATGTGATTTGTTAATACCGAAACCTTCAAAAACCTGTGAGGGGGGTGGTAGTCACCTTCCCTCCTCTCGTTCACTATGCTTCCTCGCCTTGGCGTAATGATGGGGGGGAGGGGGGCTTGGGGGTAGTTGCCCCCTAATAAAATTAAAACTTGGTTTATTTCTAACTCGATACCAGGGATTAACAAATGTTGCTGAAATGGCATGGTTTTTCCCTGAGCTTCCGGGGGCTCTGGACCCCTGGTTGCTCATCTGACCGTGATTAAATGCCCCCAAACCTGGACCCAACTAGTGGCTCCCTACCCCCCCCCCCCCCCGTCCCTCGCATTTTGTACCCCCGGTCATAAAAAGAAATCGCCGCCCCTGCGTGGTACTAACCGGATACCTGGGCTTCGCGGTCTGGGGAACTGAGAGGGACTTTGGGTAGGGAAGAAAAAAAGACGATAAAACCTCAGGAGCCGGGTGGTGGTCTTCTCCTTAAATCAATGGAACATTGTTGTACCAGACTGGAAATTCGTCAACCGCGCGTGCCCTGTTTCTGTGCTTTAGCACACAGGTCAAAACTCCTTTACCTCTCACAACAAACATGTACATGTAAATATACAGTACAAGAGATATTATTATACAATGGAACATCCATTCACTGCTTTTATGTAAAAAGGTGAATATGCATGTGACACCTGTTCTACACATTTTTACATAATAGCAGTGAAGGGATGTTCCTTTGTCTACCTGAGGAACTGTATATTTTGTCCGCTCTCTTTGTCAGACATATTCATAGTGCTAACCGCTCCGCGACTTTTGCACACAAAAAATTTGGTTCAGGTTTTAAGAGTGCTTTCAATTCCTTGAGTCGCTAGGTTACGACTACGTTAACCAATCACACGGTACGTGCAGCGTTTAAGAATTCAACATGGCGAGTGACTTAGCAACTGATCGAGCTCCAACTCCAAGATTGGAATTATTAAGTGAGAAGGGTTTGGAGCCGTTAATTACTAGAGGAAGCAGAGAGACAAATCAAGTACCCGGTCTCTATCTTTAAGGATTACTGCTCAACATGCAATATTGGTGACATCGACAACATGAGCGACGTGGATTTGGATAATCTTCTTTCAAGATTCAATGCAGGAGCTCGATCGCCAGAAGGCCGGATAGCTGAACTTTAAGAACACGATGCAATCGATGCGGTATGGCCTGCAAAGGCATCTCCAAACCACTCGCAAAGTTGATATTGTGAAAGGTACTGAGTTTAAAGTGTCTAACAAGATCTTCAGTTCAAAGCCTTTCTGGAAAAGTTGAAGAAAAGTGGAAAGAGTTACGTCAAACGACACCCGCCGGTGAGCCCAAGTGACACGCAACGCATTCAAAAATGCCTGGATTTGAATACTGCCGAAGGACTACAGCGGAACCAGCTAAACCAATTTTTTAGACAAGGAAAAGTTCCAACCCAATGGAAAACTGCAGAAATATGTCCGATTCCAAAATCTCAACCTCCTTATATTAATAATCTACCCCGATTGGAATAACTTCATATTTTTCCAAAGAAGCCGAATCCTTTTTAGCAAAATGGTTATTAGAAGATATTGATAAACATATTGACACTCACCGATTTGGTAATTATTTGTACTACACATTATATTTTCGGTCTTTTACATAGTCTATATAAAAATGCAGAAAACAGAAAATCTGTTATTTGTATAGATATAAGTAAAGCTTTTGATCGCTTAGATCATAAAATTCTGATTAGAAAAATGATTCATATGGATATAAGGCGTAGGATAATAGATTGGATTGCCAGTTTTTTAGAATCTCGTTAACAAAATTCAAAATATAACGGTGTTTTATCAAATGTTGAATTCAATCATGCTGGTGTTCCCCAAGGTACACGTCTTGGGCCAATTTTCTTTTGAATTATGGTTAACGATTTATGTGAGCAACTTCCTATACCGTATTTCAAATATGTCGACGACCTCTCGTTAGTACAATGTCGGAAATCTACAGATGTCTCGCAATTACAATCAGTACATAATTCTGTGCAATCTTGGTCTATTGTGAATAATATGTCACTTAATCCTTCAAAGTGTTTTACCCTCCAAGTTAGTTTCATGAAAAACCCACCAGACCCAGAAATTCTCTTTATTAGCAATACCGAATTGTGTAATAGGCATAGTGCTAAAATTCTTGGAGTGATCATCCAGTCTGATCTGAAGTGGAATTTGTATATTGATGAGTTAATGAAAAGATGTAATAGAAAAATGTATATTATGTTGAGGAAATATGAAAAATTTAATTTACCTTTAAATGATTTAGTAATAATCTACACAGGTTATATACGACCAGTATTAGAATATTGCGCCCCATGTGTTTCATAGTGGTCTCACATCTGAACAACAAAAAAAAGTCTCGAACGAATACAACGGAGGGTTTGAAAAATTATTTTAGGCTCTAATTGTATGTCATATTCACATGCATGTCAAGTATGCAATTTAAGTACATTTGAGGAAAGAAATACTGTGTATAAAATTTGCAAAATCTTTAGCATTCATCCAGCATGCCAGAACTGGCTACCTCCCACCCAAAAAAGAAATTAGAATATCATGACGTCAGGCTTCTACATAATTATCATAATTTCAAATGCAAAACCAACTGCTTCAAAAACAGCCCTTTACCATATTTGATCAATCTAATTAACCATAATATTAAATGCTTTTTTAACTACATGTTAAATTTCAAACACAGTACTGGTCTTCAGCTCATTTGTTTCCAATCTTAAAATCCAATGTATTCATTTTTAAGCATAAAACTTCCTTTTGTCATTCTTAATGTGTAATGTAATTTTAAATGTATTTTTAACAATCTTTTTAACGTGTCAATATTTGATAATGCGAGTTATCACTTTATTATGTCAACATGTAAACATGAACAATCCAGCTTCTGCTGCTTTTCATGTACAATGACAATTACGATGCATGTATTTTGAAATTGCATAATAAACCATTATTTAATTAAACCGTTATTGAAAGTCTTAATTGATATGATTTATTTTGCCAATTGTGGACGAGAGAACGTAAGAGATATATCACCCCTCGACTTCGCCTCGGGGTGATAGAAGGGCCGGTATGAACACCACCGAGGGAGTGATAATATAAATATAATGACTGCTATGAGAGGAGTAGTATAGGCTTAAGGGGATGTTGCATCCTGATATCACCCCGAGGCGTGCCGAGGGGTGATAGCAAGATGCAGCATCCCCGTGAGCCAATAAAACAACTATTCCCCGAATATCAAAGCAGTCAATTTATCTTTCATACCTAAAAAATAAAGGTCATAGAATACATGTGCGACTTACCAATCATGGTAATCAACTTTGTTTACGCTATCGAGGTCTGTGTTGATTACTTGCAGCCATTTTTTTTAAAACCTTCTTTGGACGTAAAATAATGTTTAGAAACTAACAAAAATCGAAGATTACAAGTAGACCTACAATCGATCGAGATCGGCGGTCTGTGTGCTGTAGCGACCATCGCACACAAACTGTATGATAGCCGCGCCGCGCACAAACTAAGTTTTAACACGTAAACCAATGGGGATCGCAACTATCTTCCTGGTACCCGGAATCTTGCGGGAATATCACTCATGAACTAGCATTGTTCGTCTCTTAATAGGAGAATTGTTAAAATTACGACTGAAATTTCGAACATTCAGATGGCAAGATTTCTAAAGAGAGGTATATAATTTCCACTACCATCTTAATAAAAAGTCAATATTTGTATAGTATATACCTTACTTAAGAAATCCATCAATCTGATTTGTCGAAATTGCAGTCATGGTTTTAGCCATTCCCGTAAA